TCTCCACCTAGGATACCAGACCTGACAAAACATCTAAGGATAAGTAACATTTTCACTCTTAAATCACACTGATGTTTCTAAGTCCCTATTACCTCTCACAGAGACCAAGATTATAACAGATGTTTTTAACGCTTTCCAAATGCAATAATTTGCTATTAGTATTAAATTCCATCCTATTTTTGCTGAAGTCATCTTCAAAGTAATCTTTATGCAATGATCTATCTTGACTTGCTTCTCTTATTTCACACTGTCAGTTTTCATAATTTATTCCTGTTTTCTATGCCAAGCTCATGAAGCAAACATTAAGCGGTACCAGTGCCAAGACATGGTATCAGGGCACTTCCTTGCAGCCTGACAGGCTTCTTCTCAGCACAACATGCTGTCGCTTCCCTTCATGTGCAACTCAGGTATCTCATATTAATCTCCATCTTCTCAAATCTGTCAGTTTTTCAGGTGGTACAATATCAGATACTTCAGTAGCAACCAAGAATATTGGACATGCTATGTTTCCTTAAGGTAGAAAATCACTTAGTTTTCTAAAAAAAAAAAAAAAAAAGGTCAATATGGAATGCTTTAAGCAATCAAGGCAATGTTTTGTCCTGTTTTCTATTTACCTCCATTTCCTTAATTATTCTGTGTGTCAGCAGTACGCCGTGCTGAAAATCCTTGCTGCTAGAACTACACTTCTCTGACTGGTCTTACAGGTGAAGATTATCTAGTGCCCTGATTTGAGTACATGGAGAGGACTTGGAGACTACATGTTCCTCACTGTCTCTTCCAATCCAAGAAGAAAATGCATTCAAAGCAAACACAAGGAGGTTGTATCTCAATCAAGCTGCAAGTAACCTCTGGAATTTCTTGTCCTGAAACATTGTGGACAGCTGAAGTTGAAAACAGATGAGGGGCACATGAATGAGTCAACGAAAAAGGAAGAAACTGAAGGTTAATAGCTACAACCTTCCCCACACTTACTGTGGGTATGTAGGTCCCTGGGCCACAAACTGCTGGAGGTTTGAAGACTACTCCTGAACTGGGAAGCATGGCTTGAAGATTTTCAGTCAAGCCCACTGAACTGACTCTTATGTATTTATGTAATCTACCATGTCTTATTTGAGCAGCTTATCTGAGTCTTATTTCCACCACACTCATTCTAATTTACCTATTCCCATTCACCTTCCCACTCTTTACTTCATGGCCAACATCATTATTGAAAGCTGAGACAAAGTGTTTGTTTAGCTTTTACACAATACTTATAATATCTTTAAACCCTGTAATATCCTCATACAACAGATGCAATAATTCTTCCATTTTCTTTTACACATCTTGCTTTACCTGCTGTTACTTGCAGTTATTTCTTTTTTTAAGTGAGGATCATGACATCTGCAAATTGTCCCTACATTTTCTAATATCTAGGAAAAGGTTTATTTCTTGATAAGTCCTTCTTCTATTTGTTGTAGCCTTCAATTTTCACTCATAAGTTCTTGCTTGACACAACAATTCATTAGGCTAAAACTGGACACATTTCTGCAAGTTCTTACTTGCCAAAGATGAAATAGATTTTACACCTTTTACACCAAGAGGTAGGTTTTACAACTTTGATTTGAGGAATTCCAGCCCTCTACTGTCTCTTAGTTCTCATGATCTCTAAGTAATGAAAGTAAGTACAAGAGCTTAGGAAAGAATAAAAAGTAGATTTGAAAGTAGATTCAGATGACTGAAGCCCCTTCCAAGCGTCTAAGGTACTTACCTTCAACAATTGCAGCCATCTAGTGGGCAAATACCAGAAATAGTCACTAGTCAGTAAAAATGTGGTCTGTTACTTGCAATCGTTCACTTTCTGAGTGGACTTATATTTCATGGCTAAACCAGGCAGTATGAAAAAACATGTCCCGAACTATCCTTATCATAAGCTTGTATTACAGCACAGCTGCCCTGGCCACCCCCATAACACCTCAGGAATGGGCATGCTTCACTCCTGTTGAACATGATACCACAAGGAGTCACTTGGGCATACAGATTTATTCCCTTGTCTTTCCAATACCACAAAAAGTTATAACTTTACTAATGCTTCACTGAGAGTAATAATAAACACACAGCCAGAATGGTTTCTACGCTGAGCAACACAACTGACTCACTTGGATGCTTGACAAGTGAGTGTGGAGTCAGATATATGTTCATCAAGGCCATACACTACAGCTGCGATTCCCAGCCTGTGCTACACCTACTTGATTGATGCACTGATCACTCTATCAAGGGGAAAGTCAGCAGCTGCTGATTATACCTGGTGTAAATGCTTGCCATCACAGTAGGTAACTACATAGACAATTTCTACTTTTGCATGCCTAATTAACTCAGACTGCTAGGTAATGGCAATCCAACAGCGACTGTCTTTTGGGTACAGGAAGTAAGGAAGGAAAATAGATCAGCTGGTATGCATTTGGTGGAGGAGAGGTGCAAAGTTGTAAGGAAAAGGAAGAAAGGAATGGCAATATCTCTTGACCTGTCAAGAACCAACTGTGGAGCCAGAAGTTGTTCCTATTGCTGCTGTCAGTGTGGTAATTACCTCTTTTGGCATCAGCTGTGGTGGTATCCATGCACTCTATGACCTCAAACTGTTTTGCTAAAAGTGTTTTTATGCCAATATATCAATCACAATTTCTACATCATATAAAATAAGGTACTTCCTTAAGAATGGCCTTCATTATTTTTTCAAATGAACACATTATCATAGAGTGCATGACACCCAAAATTTATTTCTGTCAAAAAAACATGCACTTAGCAACATCACTATGATGATGTCCTTCTTTCCCTGCCAAAAGTCATCTTTTAAAATGCTGCTACTTGAGAGCAACGCATGGTTATTCTGTTTTCGAAGCTAAGAACCAAAAACAGTTTTGATGCTGTACCACTGATAAATGTTTCTGAATACACTGAAGGAATGGTTTGTTGGAAATACAGTCATTTCAGTTTTGTTTAAGTATTACCACAAAACAAGTGGTTGTTAGCAAGATAAAAGATGTATGCTCATAAAAAGCTCATAAAAAGACATCAATTTGACAGAAAGTGAACCCTGAGAACCTAACTGATATAGAAAGCAGTCACAATGCAAAAACTTAGCTTTTCCACACCCTACCCTCATATTATGGGTGCTTTCAGGTGCATTACCATTGTCTGCATTATTGTGTATGCCTGCATTATTTCTGGCTATTTGGAATGAAAAAAAAATAAATAGCAATTTTCTAGTGAAACTCAGATATTGTGCTTCCTTGAGATCACTTATGAAGCTGGGTATGAAGAGAACAGACACGATAGAAGAGGATCAGGTCAACACAGATGATACAGTAAGTCAGAAACCTTCAGTCACTGAAGCTCTCCCTTCTGTGCCTATAGAATTTTCCCTCCCTTTCCCTTCATTCAGCTTTGATTTTCCCTTGTCCAAGGGTCAGAACTGATGCATAGAATTTTGTCCATTTTCTGCTCCTCCATCTTCCAGCAAAGTATCACTGCCAGATACTCACAAATGCCTCTGCTTTTCCTGGAGCAGCAGGTATTTAACTCCAAAGCATGAAGCATGACTGCTCACAGGGTTATCTCCAGTGTTTCATGAGCAGGGCAATTTCTATCATTTTGGAGCAGCTCTGAACCCCTAGTCCCAAGGGCAAAGCTATGAACATGCAGTAGCGCCCAAAAGTGCCCGGGAGGCAGGGGAGATATGTGCCAGAGGGGATATTATACTTTATGCATACCCCCATTGTGTTCAGCACCGCTTCTGCCGCTCCTGGAGCTGGACACCATTTGGACACTAGTGTAACTACCTGGCTGGTTCAGCATCAGAGCTAAGTAAACTGGTTATAGCCAACAACATAACAAATCCAGCCCTTTTCCCCCCATTCATAAACTATTTTTAAGCTCTCTGCATTTTATCAAATTGTTTTACTTGCAAGAAATCCACTGTAACTCTTTATCAAATTATATGCTCTTTATGTTATACCTAACTCACTATTATTTCTATAGCCAGATCAACTCTCTGAAACCTTTCATAGATAGACAGTGGAACTTCAACAGTCATTTCCAGTTGGATTTTTGAGCAAAGACAGACTTACATACACATGCAAAAAACAGCAGCCAATGTTTACTTGTGTGCATGGCCTGGGGCAGCAGTTTTCAGTGCTAAAACCCAATGGTACACAAGAGGTAGGAAAACATATGTGCTGTGAAGTTCCCAGCATTGGCAGAGCATCCTCAGCTACATATTCTAGTGATCAGTCCACCCCAGGGCAGCTGACATCAAACTGATGCTGGATTTATTTCACATTCCAGAATAGCAGCAATAACCCTAAATTACGTAGATCTGCACTGGACTTTAGTGCCTGGCAGTCGTTTGTCAGCTGCAGTCTTCTTCCACATGTACTCAGTCCCTGCAATATTTTAACATGTTGCCTTTTGGCAGGATTAGTGTACTGGACGTCCCCTGAGAAAGCCATAGGAAATGCATACTGGTCTTGTGGTTAATTTAACAAAGCTCTTGATGTCATTATTATTTAGTGGAAACATAGTCAAACACTTACTGGGCAGCCAAAATTTAAATAAATTCCCATGTTCTTAAGTGGTCATTTTGAATGTTTGACATAAAATGCACATCTCTGTTTAAGACACATGGCATATCCAGACGAACTTACACACCACTGTGGGTTTTAGCATGCTGAAACGATTTGCAACTCTGCTTTAAAGTTGCTGGCTTCCAAAACCAATGGTGATAAGTGAGATCTGGAACAAATTAATATATTTCCCAATAACCTGCGGGTTTCTTGGGAACTGCTCATAATGCTTAATGGGCAGCCAGAGCTTCTCGTAACAGCAACAAAATGCAAAGGAAGAAACCCCCCTATGAATATTGATAAGGTGCAAAGTCAGGCACTTAAAATTTAGGAAGTATAAAAATAAGGTTCCCTGCATGATGTTAATTTAAGACCATCATATACATTTATTCTGATGCAAACCTGATATTCAACTTTTTTCCACAGGATTCTTCTGAAGCTGGGACAGACTGGGAAGCTGGAAGCAGAAGCAAAGTGCTGTTTTCCAAGTAGGACACAGCTGGCCGCAGCAAATGCCATGCCAATGCGAGCTTCTCTGTTACAGAATTAGAAAGGAGCCCGGAGGAGTTATCAGAGGCACGACTGACCAAGGCATGCATGTTTGTTCAGAGATGCTGGGCGTGCAGGAACCAAATTAATTCCTCCATTTCCCACCTTTCCCAGGAGGCCCTTAAGAGCAGATGTAACCCAGCTGGGTTGCCCAGGAGGGGTAGGTTGCTCCTTCCGTTTTTCCTTTTCCCTTTTCCTTTTTACCTTTTCCTTTTTCCCTTTTCCCTTCCCCTTTCCCTTCCCCTTCCCTTCCCTTTCCCCCTCCCCTTCCCTTTTCCCCTCCCCTTCCCTTCACCTTCCTTTCCCCTTCCCCTTCCTTTGCCCTTCCCTTTCCCCTTCCCCTTTCCCTTCCCTTTCCCTTTCCCCTTCCCCTTCCTTTGTCCTTCCCTTCCCCTTCCCCTTCCTTTCCCCTTTCCCTTCCCTTTCCCTTTCCCCTTCCCCTTTCCCTTCCCTTCCCCTTTCCCTTCCCTTTCCCTTCCCTTTCCCCTTCCCTTTCCCTTTCCCCTTCCCTTTCCCCTTCCCCTTCCCTTTCCCCTTCCCCTTCCCTTTCCCCTTCCCCTTCCTTTCCCCTTCCCTTTCCCCTTCCCCTTCCCCTTCCCTTTCCTTCACAACAGCTGGGTTTCTTATCCAAGCTGGTGGACAGACAGACCCACACCTGCCACCAGCAGTCCCTTGCAAAAAGAGGGCAATGAGGAACAGGCAGCCAGAGCTTTTCCATGAGTGCATCCTTGGCCATCACCCGTCTACCACAGGGATCTGTGGGGAAGCACCCTGATCAGCTGGTCTGGCTGTGGTCCCCGCTGCAGAGGTGGGAGAGAAGCTGGGCACCTCCCAGGAGCAGATGTACATCCACAGGAAACACGTATCCCCAGGGCACAGTCCAGGTAACTCCCCACAGAGACCCTCAAACCACTTCTAAATGAGGTACTGCACAAAGGGGAATTAATCCTGTGTTGATGCAGCACTGCAATCACCCTAATGAGCTCTGTTTCTTAAGCTGTAAGGCCACCTTACTATTCCTTTCCCCCTCTGTGTTACTCTCTGTGTGGCTGTTATATATTAGCCGCTTTTATTACATCAATTTAAAATGGAGAGAAAAGACTTTACAATTTGCACCCATTTTATTCTGCTTCTTTTTTATTTCTTCCCAGAGAAAAACAAAACAACAACCAGAAGACCAGCTCTGCCATTCAGCTTGTCTGGTTTTGTACTTGGGCACTACAATGGGTCACATTAACAGCTGTAATATTTTTTATAGGAGGTAACTGGAAGTTCACAGACACTGAGTGACCTCTCCACGCAGGAAGAAACAAAAGCCTTTCTTTCCAGCTTCCTCTTCTAACAGCAAAGCTGCTCTCCCACCCTCCCTACAGTTCACTGAAAATTGTTCCTTCTCTTTAAAATGTTTACTCCAAAATACCACAATTGTGTCTTGGATTCCCACAGAGCTCAGAGTAGCAATACAACAGACCCCAAATCTGTCGACATAGCTTCACCTCAGTGTTGCTGTCACAGCCAAGGTTTGGATCAATGCATCTCAGACTGCTGCGCTGCCTATACTAGTGCCTAGCCACTTGTAAAGCAGGCAACAGTGAGATATGAGTGACAAACCAGCATATAGGTTTACAGAGATACAGGGACTAAGCTTTGAAATTGCAACCTAGGGAGTGAAAAATAAATTAAAAAAAAAAAATTAAAAGAAGCTTTTCAAATCACCCCATAACTAAGATGTCAGAGTATTTCTTTCAAAGTCAGGCAAAGAGCCTCACTCAAATAATACGGTTGCTTATGACTCAAATTTTCCTCAGCCTCCACATTCCTAACTATTCAGCTGACTTCAATATTTTGTAATGTAAAGGCAGCTCAAGGCTTCTCAGCAGTGTACGTGAAATGCAGTTTTGGAAATGGTGGTAGAATGGCTCCAGGATAGGGAGGACAAATAGTATGGGGCTTTGGTATATGGTGAAAAACCAGAACTGCCTTGCTTGTACTAGAAGAAGTGTGGTTCAAGCAATTTGAGTCTGCTCAGAGCCTGATTTCAGGAAAGCATTTTTTCAAATCTTCCAGTTGTTAAAGAGGAGGGAAAAGAAGGTTTCTGCCTCTTGAGTGGGAGTGCTTAGAAAGGGACACGCAGAGTTGCTCCCCACCTAGAAGAGGCTGTTCTAGGTGAATAGCCTAAGAGGGACTGCAGGGCACGGATTTTCATCTCCCGCTGAGTTGAATTTCCTAGACTTCTGCTCAAAGTGGCAGCCAAGTAGCTGTGGCACTCACTGTTCCAGCACACGGGTGATGCTGCTGGTACCTAAGCTTCCTTGAGGTGACAAAAGGGACCACAGTCACTCTAGCTTCTCACAGGGTAGGGAATGGGAGGCTCTGCCTCCTGAGGCAATAACTCACCAGGACCAAATCTACAAATCCACAGAGTGCTCCTGAGCACTGCATTTTGGTCAGATTTTTGGGTTGGGTTTTGTTTTTTTTTTTTGTCTTTTACAACCACAGGAATCTGTTTTGTCCTCTCAATGCACCTACATGAGGGTTTTGAACACCCACCTGTCTACATAGGTATGGTGCTAGATGCTTTCTCCAAAGACTGATTAGCCTACTCCCACCTTTACATGATCCTCAGAGGGACATGAATGCGGCACTCAGCACTCTCATGGGACAGCCCTCTGAGCCCAGATTAATGTCCTGACTTGTTATGGGGATGCTTTGTAAAAGGGTAGTTCATGGCAGTCTGTTTGCAGAGGAGGAGAGATGTAGTGGCTGATCTCCTTCACACAGCCCTTTACTAGTTACCACTTACAGCAATGTGCTCAACAATAGCCCCAGGAAAGCTCGGTGGCTTTGCTGAGGACTGGCATTGTCCATGACATCTGCTGAGCACCTATCTGGAGGCCAAGACCTACTGTGAATGCATGGCATTACAGCTTGGGGGTACTCCCAGTATGAAGGTGTATGTGGCCTCAAAGACAGGAACAACAGCAATGGAAAGTTTCACAATGTGTGGCCTGAACATACAGTACACTCATCTCCTTTTCCATTAAAGACTTTTGAATCTGCCACTCTGGGGACATGGTGACCAAGATGGTGCCATGTTCATGTGCATTTGGTAAACCTGGGGAGATGGAGAGAGGCTCAGATATGAACCAGCGTATCTACTTTCATCCACCGAATCATTGTACATAGGAACTGCCTATTTCAAAGAGGGCTGGTTACTGGTAAGTAATCTGTCTGTTGTCTGTCTTCCTTGCTTCACTGTGTGCAGTGTTCAGATTAAAAATGTGTTAAGAGCTCTGGGTTGAATCTGCAGACTTTATTGTTTTAGCATGTCTCAACTTTCTGCTACAATTTAGGATTAAATGAGTTGACTCACTTCATAAAAACTATAAACTCAACCAACTTTTGGTTGCTGTGGATATGACGTGCCCCAGTGTCCCATCACTCCTGTACTACAAGCTATCACGTGAGAAAGCAGGAAGGAACTTACACTCAAAGGCTGACTGCTAGTCCCTTTCTTGACACGCTGAGGGAGAATGTGATGTCCCCTGGTTGGCAGAAAAAGCAAAGTTAATCCATTTCCTTTGCCAAATATGTTAGTACTCCTGCTGCTGTCCCAGGAAATTCCACGATCACCAGAAATTGCTCAATGAATCATCACAGATCTACAGATCCATAGCTGCTTCTGAATAAAGGTGCCCTTCATGCACCATGTGTACATGGAGAACTTCTCGAGAGGCTTATGCAAGAATACAAGTCCTGTGCTCATGTCAGAGTTTTCATGAGGTTAAAGATTAAGTTTTGCATAGCGCTTATAGGAGTAAATATTTATCATTCTGAGCTGAACTAACATGTAACTGTTCCTACCCCAGTTCAACAACGATTTTAATCTTCTGCCTCCTTTAAACAAGCCATAGGCTTAAGCAGCTTGCTGAATAAAAGCCAAAGGGAAGAGACATTGAAAGAAAAGCTCAGGCAGTCATAAATTACTGCATAGTTTTCAAATAAACCTTAAAACTGTTTTCCCTTTAACTCTGATGCTTTAGTTTTCCTTAACAAGTATTGCTTTCCCAGTAGAATCTCAGTGCAGCTCTCATCTTTAGCATAGAAAGGAAACTGAAACAAACTTATAGTTTTGCATTTAATTGAGTAGAAGTTTTTAATGGGTGGAGTCACGTCCAAACCTAGTTATCAGACAGACTTATAGCTCTTTATTTGCATCTTCCAAAAGCCTTGAGCTGTTCTGCAAATGTTTTATCTTGCATTAATTAAATGAAAATCAATCATTTCAATATAATTTCAAATGATACATGGAGCACACGGGGGTCTTGTAAACATAGCAAAACATTACAACATCTGTTATTATTAATGCTCTTTACTTTATGCCAAGTTTATCCATGGTCTTGTCAAGTGAGGAAATCCCTCCTTGCTGGTGCAGGAATCAGATGATTAGAGCTGGGCTAACCAGGGACAAGGAGGCACAAGGATTCTGATGCATTTCAGGATGGTGTAGAGAATTTTTTCATATACTTCTTACTGAAGGAGGAGTGATGGAGCTGTTGGCTGTTAATAGGACTGAAAGGACTGAGTACCGTAAGAATCTCCTTACCAATGTGTTGTCATCTCCTGGGTGGCCTAAATGTTGGTGGATTTAATGGGATGCAGTGAAGGTTCACTATTCATTTTCAGGAGCTGTCCTGGTTTCGTTTAAACCATGACAGTGGTTTGTAAAGAGAGGCTCCATGTCCTGCATCAACCAGGTTCTGTTTGTCCAGCATGCTGCAACTACATACATTTAACCTACACCTATCATTGCTCAAGTACCCCCTCAGGGAGGATGCTTCAGGCAAGGAAAGTAGTAATATATATATGTATAAGTATAGATACAGATAGCTATAGTCATATTAATAGTGTAAAATTCCATGGGCAAGATGAGATTGGCAAGGTATTCTCATGTCAATATACAGAAAGCTGGGCTGTAGCATGCCATGCTAACATCTGCAGGAGTGAACTGCAGGGTCTAAGCCTCATGTTTGTGAAGGCTCAAAACCTGTTTTTTATGACGTTGATAAAGATTAGAG